CTTCCTCTGCAAGCTAAAGAGAGCACGAGCCCCCCCATCCATCATGTGCTCCTTCTACAGAGGCACCATCGAGAGCATCCTGACCAGCTGCATCACTGTGTGGCTTGGGAGCTGCACTGCTGCCAACCGCAAGACCCTGCAGCGCACAGTGAAGGCTGCTTAACGGATTATTGGTGTCCCACTCCCCTCTCTTCTGGACCGCTACGGCACCCTGTGCGTGACCTCACCCACCCCTCACACAGCCTCCTGCCATCGGGGAGACGGTACCGCAGCCTGCGGGCCGGCTCCACCAGACTGGGAAACAGCTTCTTCCACCAAGCTGCCAGGAAGCTTAACTCTCTCCCCTCTCTTCCTTCCCTCCCCTCTGCCCCACGAACACTGGACGTTGAAACCCCCTCCCGTTTGCCACCAAGAACTTTGGACTAATAACTCTGAAGCTAACTATTCAAAGTACACTCAGTTTACGGCACATTGCACAAGTTTACAGAACTCTGGACTAATAACTCTGAAGCTAACATCTCAAAAGTACAATCAGTTTACTGCACATTGCACATATTGCACAAGTTCAATTTTTCTTTAAATTTAATTTAATTTTATTTACCATTTTGTACCTTTTGTCCTCTCCTCTCCTCTCTATCGTCTCCTCTCCAGCCTCCTCTCCTTCTCTCTGTAAATGTGTCACCTCGTTGGTATGTCGGTTTATAAATTAGATCTCTAATTGCTGCTGCAGATTAACTGACCTGCTGTCAGATTAAAGGTTAACTCAGAGGAGCATCAGATGAGTGTGTGTGTTAGTATAGTATCAACTCACACACAGCAGTCACCAAACCTCAGCATCCTTAGAAACTATTATGAGCTAAACTAACAAATTATATCATATAATAATAATAATAATACATTTTATTTAAAGGCGCCTTTCAAAACTCTCAAGGTCACCTTACAGAGCAGAGATAAAAACAACTAAGTAACAACACAACGATAGAATTAACATTAAAAAACACAAATGTACAGGATGTAAAGGAGTTATGAGAACGGGTGGAGAATGATCAGACTGAATATGCCAGTTTAAAAAGATGTGTTTTGAGATGAGATTTGAAAATGGAGAGAGTGTCGATATTACGGATTTGTGGTGGGAGGGAGTTCCAGAGGTGGGGGGCAGAGCGGCTGAAGGCCCTGGACCCCCTGGTGGACAGGCGGGCGGGTGGTGCAGTGAGTTGAATGGAAGAAGACCTGAGAGTGCGGGTAGGTGTGTTGATGTGCAGGAGTTCAGAGATGTAAAGTGGAGCGAGGTTGTGGATGGCCTTGAAGGTGAGAAGTAGAATTTTGAAGGTGATGCGATGTTTAACCGGGAGCCAATGAAGCTGCTGTAGGACAGGGGTGATGTGATTAACAGAGGGCGTTCTGGTGATGATGCGAGCGACAGAATTCTGGACCAGTTGAAGTTTGTGGATGGACTTGAGAGGGAGACCAAAGAGAAGGGGGTTGCAGTAGTCAATGCGGGATGTAACCAGGGTGTTGACGAGGATGGCGGTACTGCTGGGAGTGAGGGACGGGCGGAGGCGATTAATGTTACGTAGATGGAAATAAGCAGACCGGGTGACATTATTGATGTAAGCTTGGAATGATAGTGAGCTGTCAAGGATGACACCCAGACTCTTAACCTGAGGGGAAAGAGAAACTGAGGAGTGGTCAATAGCCAGAGAAAAACTGTCAAGTTTGGAGATTGTTGATTTGGTGCCGATGAGGAGAAGCTCGGTTTTGTCACTGTTTAATTTGAGGAAGTTGAAGGTGAACCAGGATTTGATTTCTTGCAGGCAATCAGTCAGTGAAGTGGGCGGGAGGGAGGAGGTGGGTTTGGTGGACAGATAGAGCTGGGTGTCATCCGCATAGCAATTGAACTGGATGTTATACTTACGGAAGATATGGCCAAGAGGAAGGAGATAGATGATGAACAGAAAGGGGCCCAGGACAGAACCCTGAGGAACACCGGTGGTGACTGGAAATGGCTTGGATTTGAAGGTTCCGAGTTGAGTGAACTGAGTACGACCAGAGAGATAGGATGAAAACCAGTGCAAGGGTGTGTCAGTGATTCCGATGGAGGCAAGTCTGTCAAGGAGTGTGTGATGGGAGATGGTGTCGAAGGCTGCACTTAGATCAAGGAGGATGAGGATGGTTAGAAGTCCGGAATCAGCTGCCATGAGGAGGTCGTTGGTGATTTTTACCAATGCTGTCTCTGTGCTATGGAGGGGGCGGAAACCAGACTGGAACTGTTCATAGAGGTTATTGTCAGACAAATGAGTGTGAACCTGAGATGCAACTGTTGGATAGGAAGGGTAGATTAGAGATAGGACGGAAGTTATTGAAGTCATTTGGGTCTGCAGCAGGTTTCTTAAGTATAGGGGTTATTGAAGCTGATTTGAAAGAAATGGGAACAAGACCAGAGGTGAGGGAGGAATGTATGATGACCATTATTAGGGAAGACAGAGGGGGTAGGCAAGCTTTTACTAGGACAGTAGGGAGAGGGTCTAATGGACAGGTAGATGGTTTTGATTTCTGAATGAGGTCAGATTCATATATAACATGTGAGTTAAGTTCAGCCTGTACACTGCAGGAGACAGACTCTAGTGGACACTGGAGGAACTACAGCTGTAAAGTTGTACATTTTAACATGGCGCTCTATGGGGACTGACTCACTGCAGGAGACAGACTCTAGTGGACACTGGAGGAACTGCAGTTTATTTTCTTTCTGCAGATGTTGCACTTTCATACTGTAGAGTTTGAGGTATTTTTCATTATTTGAAATGTGTTAAATTGTTTTGGGGTGTTTGTGTTGTTCATACTTTCCTACCTGCAGACTGACCTCACTATTACACCGCGTTTACTCCACGTGCATCTCATCCAGAGAGCAGCTCGAGGCTGCAGAGAGAACCGACAGCGTCACTCTGTCAGCTGATTGGACAGAGCGATCTGTCATCTCTCTCTCTCTCTCTCTCTCTCTCTCTCTCTCTCTCTCTCTCTCTCTCCCGCACACACACACACACACACACACACACACCTCTCTGAGCGGAGGTTTCCCTCAGCTTCACTCTCACTCAGGTCTCCTCAGCTTCGCATCAGGATCATCTCGCTTCTCCCCCCCTCCTTCTTCTTTTCCTGTCATTGGCTCTGTGTTCGTGATTTTTCATGCAGAAGAAGAACAATCGGTCATCTCCGCTTCGACAGTTTTTTCCCGCGCCGGGTTTGCTACTTTAAGAGAGTGCCGCGCGTATTTACGCACAGCCGGACCGTGCAGCCAAACAGCGAAGATCTGAGGGATATCCCGGCGCTGTCATCCTCTGTGAGTCCTCCTGTGTTCATATCTAAACTGTTACAGAGATGCTGAATCATGAACATGCAGTCCGGGGATTCAGCCTCAGTGTGAAGTTGTTTCGAAGGTTTTTTGAAATCGGTGAATGTCGACCAACAGGTGGAGAGAAGCGCGCACAATGAACTCTGCTTTCTCAGCTTTAAAAATACTTTTTATTACATTTAACTTTAACACACATTAAGTCTTTATTCTATCAAAGACCTGAATCTGGTTTCTTACTGCTCGATCTGCTTTATGAATTTCTGACTCATTAAATAAAACGTCTCTGTGCAACTTCCCGTGAATTAGAGAAACGTATCAGATACTTTAGCTAACATATGACTCTTTAACAACTCAACTTTTTAATAAAATGTAATTCTGCACCGCACTGTTTGAATGCAATCTGAGAAAAAACAGTAAATGCAGGTTTGAGACGCAGCTAAGTGACACTTAGTCCAAAACAATGTTTACCTTTTCTCTCATTAATCAATCCTTCATTACTAATTATTCATCTTTTTTACTGATGTAATGCTGCATGTTGAGTCAGTTCTTCTTTTTATAACATGAGTTCATTGGTTTTGATCAGATAGTGTTTGAGTTTTCTGTTGGAATATTCAGCCTGAAGTTTGTGGAGACCAAGTGTGTGTGTGTGTGTGTGTGTGTGTGTGTGTGTGTGTGTGTGTGTGTGTGTGTGTGTGTGTGTGTGTGTGTGTGTGTGTTTGTGTGTGTGTGTGTGTGTGTGTGTGTGTGTGTGAGAGCAAAGTGATGTTTATTAAAAGGTCTTTGTTAGTTCTATTTATTTCTCGACCCGAGCACAAAGTCAGCTTCTTAAAGAAATAACTGGTCTGAAAGTCTTTGGAGGTGAGCTGAACTACCTGATGGGATCCAGACCCGATCAATCAATATCAGAGCTGGATCTGCACTGATGCTCTGCTGACCTGTTACCCCATCGACTCATGACAATGTTTACCGCTAACAACAGCGATAAACGTTAAAACGACTTCAAACCGAGACATCTATTTGACTGAGTCTCCGTTTGATGGTGCGTTCGGATGTCACAGCTTGGAATGACATCAGATCCGAGTTAACCGCGCTCCAGCTGGCAACAAGTCAGACAAGAAACATGGACGCCTCCAGGAGTTCCTTTGTTTTGCTAATTACAATTTCAGAATTCCCTAAATTTGGATTTCTGAATCGGGACTACAAACACTTCTCGTGCTGTAGATCCAGACCCCTGAGTTCAGATTCTTTACAGGACTCTGACAGAGTTTAAACTCCTCTTAAAGTTTTATCATGTGGAGAAAAAAACAGACTGACTGAACGTTTCCATGACGACACTTTTAGCCACACGGTGTAAAACTGTTTAACTCCATAAAAAATGAAAACTTTGAGATGAACTAGAGGAGTTTTTTTTACTTTCTAGGTGTTGATCATCACCATATCAACACACAGTCAGCTGGCACTGCTGAGCACACACACACACACACACACACACACCCTCTCTCTCCCTCCCTTCATTCACTCTCTCTCTCTCGCTCTCTGTAGGGAATCCCTCTCTCCCCCCTCTGCTCTTCCTCCTCCTCCTCTTCATCATCATCGTCGCCTCGCGCTCCAGGACTTTGCCCTTGGCTGTGACGCTGTTGTCGACGTTTCCATGGAGACCCTGGCCTGCGGTTGGGCCTGCGACCCGTGTGACCCCAGCGACCTCAGAGAGGAGGCGTCGTCTGTGTGGGGTGAGACTCACAACAAATACACAAACTTTGTCATAAGCAGAGCTCTCAGTCTTTAGTTATCGAAACACTGCTGCATATTCAAATATCTTCATTACTAAAGTCCTGCATGTTAGTTTCTGGAGACTCTCAGACGGGTTTGATTGACTCTCACAGCTCAGACGTTCAGCCTGAACACGGCTGGGTTAAACATTCATCTTTCAAAATGATCAAATTGAACTGAATGTTGGAAGCAGAGATCTTCCTTTTTCAACATTAAATCAAATCTATCGACTAAATCTAGAGGGCCAGTGCATGAGAGTCTTCACACCTGCACAAGAAGTTTCCAGTGTAACATCCTGCAGTTCCTGGAGTGTCCACTAGAGGCTGGCTGCAGAAGCACAGGAAGTCACATACACACCCATTCTAAAAAGCCTGTTTTTACAGCAGAGATGAACATGTTTACAGCCTGGTTCAAAAAACCAAATAGGTGTGATTAGCTCATGTCTGGATGGACACACACTGTACGGGGGGTGAATGTTTTGATGACTCATCAGTTTTGATTTGATGAAGGATAAGAGTTATTCACAATAAGGCGTGTAGCTGACCTGATTGACAGGTGGGCGCGGTGTAACGGTTTGTCAGGAGGTTTAAAACCTGCCTCAGCTCCAACTTCAAAACATTCATATTTACAGTCTATGCATGCAAAGTAATGACAAACTGCACCGCGCTGCAGGAAGAGTTATGAAACGTTTCCGGCCTTTTTGTCGACCTGCTGCGTCGTCAGCTTTTACACACTCATGTTCAATCAACTGGAGTGTGTCATTAAAACAAGAAGAGGACTGAAAGAATCCTGGAAATAATCTGATATTCAAACTTTTAACTCTGCTCCTGAATGCATCGTCCCTCTGCTGACTGAAGGTAAACTTTCCCTCTTTTCTGTAAATGCCACATTCAGCGGAGGACGACTCTCATTCATCAAACAAAAAGCGTTTCCTGCTTCTCTCGGTGAACTCTGGGTAACCGAGCGCTCCGGCAAGTTCCACTCGAGCGCTCCGCCTCCGCTCACACGCAGAAACATCCGGGAGAGATTTTTATGAAGATTCATCTTTTAATTTTCTCCGTGTCTCCTCGGGCAGAGTGTTCGATTCATCACGAGAGAGAGAGCGAGGGAGAGAGAGAGAGACAAAGAGAGGGAGAGAGAGAGTGAGAGAGATCACGGCTGTAGTTCCTCTCATGTCCACTAGATGCTGCTCACAAAAAAAACTTTTTTTAAAGATTTATTTTGGGCTTTTCGTGCCTTTAATGCAGAGAGAGGACAGTGGATAGAGTCTGAAACCAGAGAGAGAGGACAGTGGATAGAGTCTGAAACCAGAGAGAGAGAGAGGACAGTGGATAGAGTCAGAAACCAGAGAGAGAGAGGACAGTGGATAGAGTCTGAAACCAGAGAGAGAGAGGACAGTGGATAGAGTCAGAAACCAGAGAGAGAGAGAGAGAGGACAGTGGATAGAGTCAGAAACCAGAGAGAGAGAGAGAGAGGACAGTGGATAGAGTCTGAAACCAGAGAGAGAGAGGACAGTGGATAGAGTCAGAAACCAGAGAGAGAGAGAGAGACAGTGGATAGAGTCAGAAACCAGAGAGAGAGAGAGGACAGTGGATAGAGTCTGAAACCAGAGAGAGAGAGGACAGTGGATAGAGTCTGAAACCAGAGAGAGAGAGAGGACAGTGGATAGAGTCTGAAACCAGAGAGAGAGGACAGTGGATAGAGTCAGAAACCAGAGAGAGAGAGAGGACAGTGGATAGAGTCAGAAACCAGAGAGAGAGAGGACAGTGGATAGAGTCTGAAACCAGAGAGAGAGAGAGTGGATAGAGTCTGAAACCAGAGAGAGAGGACAGTGGATAGAGTCAGAAACCAGAGAGAGAGAGAGGACAGTGGATAGAGTCAGAAACCAGAGAGAGAGAGAGGACAGTGGATAGAGTCTGAAACCAGAGAGAGAGAGGACAGTGGATAGAGTCAGAAACCAGAGAGAGAGAGAGGACAGTGGATAGAGTCAGAAACCAGAGAGAGAGAGAGGACAGTGGATAGAGTCAGAAACCAGAGAGAGAGAGGACAGTGGATAGAGTCAGAAACCAGAGAGAGAGAGAGGACAGTGGATAGAGTCAGAAACCAGAGAGAGAGAGAGGACAGTGGATAGAGTCTGAAACCAGAGAGAGAGAGAGGACAGTGGATAGAGTCAGAAACCAGAGAGAGAGAGAGAGACAGTGGATAGAGTCTGAAACCAGAGAGAGAGAGAGGACAGTGGATAGAGTCAGAAACCAGAGAGAGAGAGGACAGTGGATAGAGTCAGAAACCAGAGAGAGAGAGGACAGTGGATAGAGTCAGAAACCAGAGAGAGAGAGACAGTGGATAGAGTCAGAAACCAGAGAGAGAGAGGACAGTGGATAGAGTCAGAAACCAGAGAGAGAGAGAGAGACAGTGGATAGAGTCAGAAACCAGAGAGAGAGAGAGGACAGTGGATAGAGTCTGAAACCAGAGAGAGAGAGGACAGTGGATAGAGTCAGAAACCAGAGAGAGAGAGAGAGACAGTGGATAGAGTCTGAAACCAGAGAGAGAGAGAGACAGTGGATAGAGTCAGAAACCAGAGAGAGAGAGGACAGTGGATAGAGTCAGAAACCAGAGAGAGAGAGAGGACAGTGGATAGAGTCAGAAACCAGAGAGAGAGAGAGGACAGTGGATAGAGTCAGAAACCAGAGAGAGAGGACAGTGGATAGAGTCTGAAACCAGAGAGAGAGAGGACAGTGGATAGAGTCAGAAACCAGAGAGAGAGAGGGCAGTGGATAGAGACTGAAACCAGAGAGAGAGAGAGGACAGTGGATAGAGTCTGAAACCAGAGAGAGAGAGACAGTGGATAGAGTCAGAAACCAGAGAGAGAGAGGACAGTGGATAGAGTCAGAAACCAGAGAGAGAGAGAGGACAGTGGATAGAGTCAGAAACCAGAGAGAGAGAGGACAGTGGATAGAGTCAGAAACCAGAGAGAGAGAGAGAGGACAGTGGATAGAGTCTGAAACCAGAGAGAGAGGACAGTGGATAGAGTCAGAAACCAGAGAGAGAGAGAGGACAGTGGATAGAGTCAGAAACCAGAGAGAGAGAGAGGACAGTGGATAGAGTCAGAAACCAGAGAGAGAGAGAGGACAGTGGATAGAGTCAGAAACCAGAGAGAGAGAGAGGACAGTGGATAGAGTCAGAAACCAGAGAGAGAGAGGACAGTGGATAGAGTCAGAAACCAGAGAGAGAGAGAGGACAGTGGATAGAGTCTGAAACCAGAGAGAGAGAGAGAGGACAGTGGATAGAGTCTGAAACCAGAGAGAGAGAGAGGACAGTGGATAGAGTCTGAAACCAGAGAGAGAGAGAGGACAGTGGATAGAGACAGAAACCAGAGAGAGAGAGAGACAGTGGATAGAGTCTGAAACCAGAGAGAGAGAGAGGACAGTGGATAGAGTCAGAAACCAGAGAGAGAGAGGACAGTGGATAGAGTCAGAAACCAGAGAGAGAGAGGACAGTGGATAGAGTCAGAAACCAGAGAGAGAGAGAGACAGTGGATAGAGTCAGAAACCAGAGAGAGAGAGGACAGTGGATAGAGTCAGAAACCAGAGAGAGAGGACAGTGGATAGAGTCAGAAACCAGAGAGAGAGAGAGGACAGTGGATAGAGTCAGAAACCAGAGAGAGAGGACAGTGGATAGAGTCAGAAACCAGAGAGAGAGAGAGGACAGTGGATAGAGTCAGAAACCAGAGAGAGAGAGGACAGTGGATAGAGTCAGAAACCAGAGAGAGAGAGGACAGTGGATAGAGTCAGAAACCAGAGAGAGAGAGGACAGTGGATAGAGTCAGAAACCAGAGAGAGAGAGGGACAGTGGATAGAGTCAGAAACCAGAGAGAGAGAGGACAGTGGATAGAGTCAGAAACCAGAGAGAGAGGACAGTGGATAGAGTCAGAAACCAGAGAGAGAGAGAGGACAGTGGATAGAGTCAGAAACCAGAGAGAGAGGACAGTGGATAGAGTCAGAAACCAGAGAGAGAGAGAGGACAGTGGATAGAGTCAGAAACCAGAGAGAGAGGACAGTGGATAGAGTCAGAAACCAGAGAGAGAGAGGACAGTGGATAGAGTCAGAAACCAGAGAGAGAGGACAGTGGATAGAGTCAGAAACCAGAGAGAGAGAGAGGACAGTGGATAGAGTCAGAAACCAGAGAGAGAGGACAGTGGATAGAGTCAGAAACCAGAGAGAGAGAGAGGACAGTGGATAGAGTCAGAAACCAGAGAGAGAGGACAGTGGATAGAGTCTGAAACCAGAGAGAGAGAGAGGACAGTGGATAGAGTCAGAAACCAGAGAGAGAGAGAGGACAGTGGATAGAGTCAGAAACCAGAGAGAGAGGACAGTGGATAGAGTCAGAAACCAGAGAGAGAGAGGACAGTGGATAGAGTCTGAAACCAGAGAGAGAGAGAGGACAGTGGATAGAGTCTGAAACCAGAGAGAGAGAGACAGTGGATAGAGTCTGAAACCAGGAGAGAGAGGACAGTGGATAGAGTCAGAAACCAGAGAGAGAGAGGACAGTGGATAGAGTCAGAAACCAGAGAGAGAGAGGACAGTGGATAGAGTCAGAAACCAGAGAGAGAGGACAGTGGATAGAGTCAGAAACCAGAGAGAGAGAGGACAGTGGATAGAGTCAGAAACCAGAGAGAGAGGACAGTGGATAGAGTCAGAAACCAGAGAGAGAGAGAGGACAGTGGATAGAGTCAGAAACCAGAGAGAGAGGACAGTGGATAGAGTCTGAAACCAGAGAGAGAGAGGACAGTGGATAGAGTCAGAAACCAGAGAGAGAGAGAGGACAGTGGATAGAGTCAGAAACCAGAGAGAGAGGACAGTGGATAGAGTCAGAAACCAGAGAGAGAGAGAGGACAGTGGATAGAGTCTGAAACCAGAGAGAGAGAGAGGACAGTGGATAGAGTCAGAAACCAGAGAGAGAGAGGACAGTGGATAGAGTCAGAAACCAGAGAGAGAGAGAGGACAGTGGATAGAGTCAGAAACCAGAGAGAGAGGACAGTGGATAGAGTCAGAAACCAGAGAGAGAGAGGGAATGACATGCAGGAAAGGGGCCACAGGTGGAAGCGAACCCGGGCCTACCGCTCGAGATGAGAGTCTCAATACATGGGACGCGCGCCCTAACCATTGCACCACCAGCGCGCCCCCAAAAAAAACTTTGACTTGATGATAGAAAAGTTTTTAGGTTGAAGACAGCTGTGATTGCCTTGATTGACAGGTGTGTGTCAGCCAATTAAACTCAGTCATAGTCACATGGCTAAAGAGGTCTGCACTCACATGAAGACATGGGACTATTTGAATAAAGTAACATCTTCTCTCTCTCTCTCTCTCTCTCTCTCTCTCTCTCTCTCTCTCTCTGTCTTTTCAGATTCTCAGTGTGTCTATAACGGCTCTCCTCCTGCTGCTGCTGCTCTGTTGTGGGCGGAGCCTATCTCCCCTCACCTCCAAAGAAACAAACAGGTAAGAACTCACTAAAACTTCATTCTTACATCTCATCGTTCCTCTTGTCAGATTTCCAGGAATACTGCATGTAGGATTGTTTCCTCCTCATTTATCTTCTTTCAAACGTTTTCCAGCTGCAGGACGTTCTGCTGCAGAGAGAGGAGGAGCTGGCCCGCCTGCAGGAGGAGAACAACAAACTCAGACAGTTCTTCAGTTCCTCGTTTGTGAGGAACCTGCAGCAAAAAGCAAAGGTGTGCTCCCTACGAGGACTCTGAACTCTGATGAACCGTCTTAGAGTCGAGGTCTCACCTTAGACATATTAAATAAAGAATGAAAGCATACGACGACCTCAGGACCCGAGGATGGGTCAATGCTTGATTATGTACTTTAATGATTAGATTGCATAAAGTTCTTCCCACTTTCTCAACTCAAACACACTTAGGGCGCGGTCACACTGGCCATCCATACCGTGCCGTACTCGAGCATGATTGGCCCCCCGCTGCGCCATTGCCAGCATGGCCCGCGGTCAAACTGGCCAGGACTAACAGTGCCTAAGCACGATTACCTCTTGTACATAACGTTGTAATACAACACATGCACGCTTTGTTATTATGAAGAAAAAAAAAGGGGGGACGTGCAGTCGAGTCCGCGGCCGCACATCGGAGAACAACACAGAGAGCATGACAGCTACTTTGTGGTTTATATTGTGTCATGTTAGTCAGATACAGACATGAAACTCTGGATTTCTCCAGAATGAAGGCTGTCAGTGTCGTGTACCCGCGTGCTCGTGCATGAAGTGTACCGTGCTGAAGCACACCTCCCCGAAGTGTGCCAAAGCCAAGGAAGTGTACCGTGCCTGAGCACGGAGCGGAGCGGTCACACTGGTCAAACTAACTGGACTTTAGGTTTGAAGCGTGCTTGGATGGTGCTACGGATGGCCAATGTAACCGCGCCCTTTCTTAGTGGCTGCATGGCCCATTTTTGGGTCTCGACCCACCTGCTGTGAACCACTGCTTGAAAGAACAGGCTGCTCAGGTTGTCTGCAGGTCATCTTTCTATGTAAGTTCAAGGTTTGGATAATCGTTTTTCAAATGAACATCCACCTTAAAAAAAACAGTAGCACCAACAACTACAATTCACTGAGCAGACGCTTTTATCCAAAGCGACGTCCATCAGAGAGTAAGAACAACACAAGCAAGGATCTAGAAAAAAGGGAACAATGTCAGTAAGAGCAAACGATCAGCTTTGAGTCTGATTGGACACACAGGTGCTGACAGGAAGTGACCAGAGGCAAAGCACAACATTGAGGGCAGTTCTTGAGAGCTCTAATCAGTATAGAAACCATCTTATAAGTCGTCATTATCAAACAAAAACCATCGTCATTACCATCATCATCATCAATAATATGGAGACCATCATCATTAAGTTAGTAGGTATTCATGAAAGAGCTGGGTCTTTAGCTTTTTCTTAAAGGTACAGAGGGACTCTGCAGATCACATGGAGTTTGGAAGTTCATTCCACCACCGGGGGGCGACAGAGGAGAAGAGTCTAGTCAGCGTCTTAGGACCCTGTTGTGAAGGTTGGATCAGAGGCCTTTCATTGGCAGAGTGTAGTGGGGGGAGGGAGTGTAGACCTGGATCAGAGATTTAAAGTAAGGAGAAGACGTTTGTGTCGCTGTTTTGTAAGCGAGCAGCAGAGTTTTAAATTTGATGCGAGCAGTAACTGGGAGCCAGTGTAAACCTTTTTGAACCAGCTTGACCAAATGGGGACGGTGTTAACCTCTGATCTTGTTCCCTCCTCAGAAACTAACCGCTGACGGGAGGACGAAGCTGAAGAGAAACCTGATGTACCAGGAGGACGGACCTCTACAGACCCGCAGTCATCAGCTGCTCGCCTCCCAGCAGGTCAGCAAGAGAGTCTGCAGGAACCTCACTGCCCAGTTCTGCTCGGAGTTCCCTGAGACGACCGCCTCCTCCTCAGAACCAAACCTGGATCTCTGGGTTCTCAGGACGCTCGGGCTGAAGGATCGAGACACCATCGATACGTCCAGCACCTCCTCCTCCTCCTCGTCCTCCGCCTCTGGATTCAGCTCTTTGGTTTATGATGCTGCTGCCTCCTCTTCTTCACCCTCTGAATACTCTCTGAACTCGTCTTCTACGCCTTCTTCTGTCCAGAGCTACTGCCAAACGTCGACGCCTCAATCTGACTTTGTGTTCAGTCCTGCCGATTCCTCACTGAGCTGCACGACCTCTCCGGGCCAAAGCTCTGACTTCACCGCCACTGGACGGTTTGAATCTCCCGACGCCGTCATCAGGAGCTACAACACCTTCACTGCCTTACAGTCTCCCCCACGAGTCCCGCTCTTCAGCACGTCACCGCTCAGAGCAGAGATCTGTCCTCAGGTCCCGGCCTCGAGTCCAGTCCAAAGTCTGCAGAGGAACCCAGCAGAACCTCCGGCTTACTGGTCCCCGATGAGAAGCAGCAAGACCACATCATCACAGGACGCAATCCAGTTCAGTCCACCTGGAGAGAGAGTCCATTTTTCCCCTGTCCCCTCATCCAGTCCCGCCATCAACCAGTCTAGCACACCTAGTCCGTCAGCAGACCCAGCATGCCTCAGACGCCTCGCAGCCGCACAGATTTGGCGTTCAGTATGTGCCTGAGCCCGTCCAACAGCGTCAAGACCCACAGCTTCCCCCAGGGACAAGCCTTCGTCAGGAAGGACAGCGGGGGCCGGTGGAACTTCACCTGGGTACCCAAACAAGGACCATGAAAAGATCTTCCTCTTAAGGGACTCGCTGCTAACTGATTGCTGCCACAGTTCAAACTTTCAGAACTAAAAAATGGATGTTTTACTTGTTGCTGGTTGAAGAGTTTGTTCTTGGGTCCGGTTGATAAACATCCATTGAAGACCATCATGACAAAGACTTTTGATTTTCTGGTTTACATTCAAACACTATGATCCTGACATCGATGAGACGATCTGTACGACATGAACAGAGGTAAACCATTCACCTGTGGGACATTGGAACTAACAGGCTCGAGCCATGCTAATGTAAAGTAGCTTAAAGTCAACTTACATGAGAGCCACTTGAAAATTAACAAATGCACAATATTAAGCATTATCTTAGCATTAGCTTAGCATTAGTCATACTTGATTTTTCATCCGTAAAGCATTGTTCCTAAATTCTTACTTTCTTATATGTTATTCGTAAAAAAGACGACCCTGAAGTGAAAGAGTCGCTATAATGAGAATATGTGTGTTTGTATCAACGCTACGTGGAGCTGAAGAGAATCTCAATGTGAAGTAAAGAGAGGAGAAGAACATCCTGGAGAACAGGAAACATGCAGCAGCAGGTTGATTAGAGCACGGAGATGGTAGAGGTGGCGTGCAGACAGTCTATGGTCGTGCAGCGATCACAGGGAATAAAGGTCACCACCCCCTCCCACTGGCCCCTCCCACTGGCTCCAGGTGAATTCTCCTGATTAAATCCTGCTGCATTCTCACATCAGCTCACTCTGACTCAGATTAATGTATGAATGATTATGATTATCTAACAGTATTTATAACTGAGTAGTAATGTAGGATCAATGCTTCATAGATGAAGACTTAAGTCTTAACAGCTTCATTAACAGATGAGACTAAAAGTTGTTGAGATTCTTTGATTTGTGAAACAGAAACTGCCGCATGAAAACACATGTAAATCCTTCTGTTGTGTTCTTTGTTCTATTTATTTAAAAACAGTGAAAATCAGGAAGATCCCAAACAGGGTTGCCCGCTGTACGACGTACGACCAGTAACTGTAGGAAATGATGAATGTACAATATCTGTGATTTGAGAGCAATCAATCAGATCGGCACCTGACCGACACGCCCTCCGCTCTGCTGCCAAGCTCTACCTGCCAATCAAGCCATCACCTGATGCCCTGCTCACACCTGCGGTTCGTTATGCCAGACGGACCCTAACCCGCTTTACATTATTGTGGTGTGCAGGGCAGACAGAGCACTGAGGGAATGCTACGTTCAGAATCATGCTAGTTTTAGAAAATTACCATCCCTGACTCTAAAGCTAAATGCATGAAGCATGAGAGAGAGAGAGATACTTCATGAAGGCAGAAATATTACAGAATCTTTTTTTTTTAACAATGACTCTAAAGAATTTCAGGGGACCCCAAGTGGTGTCAGGACGTCAAGGTTGGGAGAGCCTGTGCCAGGCTATTTGAATGTTAAAAAGGTAAATCTTCACTGCCATTCTTGCTAATGTCTATCATGTCAGTAGTGTAAAGACTGTGGGAAACACGTTGTACCAAATTCATGGTGACCGAATAATGTTTTGTAATAATTGACAGCTCACTCATTCACTGCCGGGTCACTTCGGGGTCTTTTCTGGAAGTGATTTGGTATTTTCCCTTTACGGCAAAGTTTAAAGGTAGTGAAAGTGTTTTGCATCCTGTAAATGTTTTTTTATAAAATGGAAAAAAGTTTTCCAAAATGTCCCTTTGTCCCAAGCTTTGCAAAAGCGTTTCACACTTTGTAATTTTAGTTTGCACTTCCCAGCCACCATACAAAAACAGTAATGGACTATCCTCCAGTTCCTTTTTTTCTGACTCTCTCCGGATGTAAAACGTCGTCACTGGGTACGAACAACTGATGTCATGTGTTTAAAAAATGCTGTCGTCTCCATGCAGAATGTCGAGATGTGTCTGCAGACGGGGTGATTTGTCCCCTGACGGCGTGTTTCACGTGATTTATGTACATAAAGCAGTAAAATCTGTCTGACAGACTGTGTGTGTGCTGTAATGTTTAAATGATCATGTACCGAATGTCACTTTAAACTTTGGACTAACAAAGCTACAGCCGAGTCGTCTCTCTTTGTTTGAAACTTTTACAACTTTTACAACTTTTACAATCTCCAATCAGAACCAGAAGAGGCAGGGTATCAAAAAAGAACATTTACTAAAGTACTAAGGACAAATTCAAGCTGCTTGAACTCCAATTTTCACGCTGCACTTCATTGATCTTCTCGATAAATCTATAAAATATCTTTACAATGGATATTGTATTGAGGTATATCAGTTAAGCTGGTTATGTAACAGACTGACTTCATCCAGATAACAGTTTATGATCTTAATAAGCAAACAGGACCTTTAGCATACTGATTTTTTCACCTCTAGGAAAACTGACAGTGAGAGAGCGAGTTATATAATAGCAGTGGTTTGATCTTTGTGCACATGATGAGGTAGCTTCATACCTTTTCTCTGCTCACCTGTATGTTCTTCCACACGTTCTTTGAATCTGTGAATATGTCCAAATGCACGTCGCATTGATATGAAGGCAACAAATGTTGTCATCGTGTCGGACTCTGTCGCTCTGTCCGCCTTCCTGGATAAAAATAAAGATTGATAAAGATATAGATTTATAGAATAATAAAGATTATGGCTTCTGTCCATGAGCGATCGTCACCCTAATTTTGTGTCCAGCTCCGTCGCTACCCGTCAGACTTTTTTACCTGATTTGATCAATTGAATCGTCGTTGGTCGGCAACACAGGTTGAGTAAAGCTCCTTGAGCATGTCTCTGTAGTATCCATGCTTTCACCCATTAGTGTGGTTTCTCCTTATTTGTCTCCTCCTCTTCTTCTTTTCTTTTTCCACTAAAAGACCAAGAACTGACAACACCAGCGCCATTTTCTACTTTCTATCAGACATTATTCTCCATTAGTAGACGACCTATAATACGAGTGGTGAGCGACAGCGGTGTGAAAATGGTCTTCTCGTATCATAAACAACGGACTACCGCCCCCTGCTGACATGGAGAGTTATTTCCTCTCACTCATGAGCAGAACAGACGTGGTGGTTGGTCGTCGGCTGTAGTCTTTGTGGTGTGTTCAAGTGCAACTTTTTGGCCAAGACGTGAGGCGACGGCACAGTCGGCATTCGTAGCCACTGGTTCTTTGCCATTGGTCGGCCTTATGACGAGAGATTAAGAAGCAGGCTTTTGCAAACATCCTATCCTAAAAGATACTGGACTATGCTGTCCGTATTATCCGGTCTTAAATAAAGATAAAACTCAGGCTGGTTTAACTCGTCGGGTCGTACTGCAGAGTTTGGAGTCTACTAGTAGAGTAGAAGTTGAATCTTTAATTCTGGAGCACAAAGGAGAAAACAGACCCAGATTGTGAAGACGTTCAGTGTTAAGAGAAGAGAGGGTTGTGCACAGGCGCGTCTCACCCGTGGGTGTTGTGGGTGTTGTGGGTGTTGTGGGTGTTGCGACACCCACACTTTCACTGAAATGACCAGACTCCACACTTTTTACCAGTGGAGTCATCGATGAAAACCTATTGGTCAAGTAAGATTTATTAAGTAACAATTAAGCCAATCATAGCTGTTTGGTAACATGGGGAGTCGTCGCCTCTCAACCGGAAGGTCGAAGTCTGGGCAACATGTCTGATGTGTCGTTGGGCAAGACACTTAACCCTGAATTGCTCCCTGCTTTGTGGTGGTGTATGAATGGGATTAGTTACTTCTGATGGATAACTTTATAATGTAGCAGAAGTCCCCTTTGCAGTTTTTCAAAATAAAAGCACATTATTTTTGAAGACCGGAAATAAAGAGACTGAGGCATAAGGCGATAAGAAAAACAAAATGAAAGCATCACAAAGAGCAGTTTTGAATCTGTTTTTTAGAACGAACTGAGTTACTCACAATGGATGTTCATAAAGTTAGAGTCTAATTATCTTTTGTAACTTTGTCTTCTTGTATGATGTGTCAGCTAACATCAGTTATTGGACATTAAATGAAACAGAATGTGTTGATTTGCTAGAGGGTGCTAATATACTATCATTAGAACAACCGCACTTTTAAAATCACTGCTCCACCCCTGGTTGTGCATGTTATCCACTTTTCACAGGTGTCCTCGTCCAGGTGTGTGCTCTGATCTGTTGATCTGACAGGTATGTGTCACTTTCTGCTCCAACTTGCTAAAGTTTCTCTCTGTGGTTTAATCCTCCTCGCTCTTTAGCTCAGTTTCCAGTTAAACCAGTCTGACCGTCCCCGTCCTCGCCCTCACCTCCCTCTCTCTCCTCAGGAACAAAAGGAGACCAGCAGCTCCCTGGTGACGCCCCCTCACCTCCTCCTACACCCTGATACCCCCCCCCCAACAGGTAACGACTGTGGGGTTTCAGCTCCCAGGGGGCGGGGCTCCCATCACAGGGTTCCCTCACGGGCCTTTTCTGGGTCCCCCGAGAGCGATCTGGGGCCGAGGGAAAGTCGTGAGCGAGAGGTGTCCGTGGCGGGCCGAGCGAGTGGTCTATCTCTAATGACAAGGTAAGACGGGCTGCAGATGTCCAACAGATTGAAGCTCTTTCAGGAGTCTGGCAGGAATGTGAAAGGAGGGCGGCTGTGGATCACAGGCTCTGTGATTTTCGGCGAGCTGAGTGTCGGACAGAGAAAGGGGTCATTAAAGAGGCCGGCCGACTGAAACTCAATCCGCCCGGCTGATCCGGGGAACGGCCTCATCACTATTTTCTCGCAGAACTCGACAGCTTGGGCTCACCTCAAAAACACGTGAGCTAATGAGTCGACACATCTGACAAAGAGTGAGCTAATTTCTCTCCCAGAGACTCAACTTGTTGCAGCTTTTCCTCGACAGTTTCCTGAAGGAAGCTGCAGCTCAGGTGTTAGGTTCACCTGCAGGCAGAGGAGAGTTACACCTGAAGCTTCAGTGTTTATCCAGCTCTGCATGGGTCTGTAAACCTTTCTGTGTTCTAACCTCT